GGGGGTGGAGCCAAATTTTTGGAAGGTGATGTGGTATGGAATGTCTTGAGAGAAGTGCAGTGACTCCGGTTAGGCATCTCCTCCTTTAGTGTAGCCAGGTAGGTGAAACTACAAATTCCATCATGTATCTGCCTCTGGAAGGCATGATGTCAGAGTCTTGCAATGCCTTATGGGACTTGTAGTTGCACCACAGTTGGCGGGCCGGAGATTGACTTGCTGTAGACCATGGGATATATGGAAGCTAAGGAACGCCACACCAGAAGAAAAGTCCATAGAGACAAACCAATGCTCGGCTTCCATTTTGTTCCCTGTTGCTATGGTGATCCTTATGGTCAGACTATTCCATAGCATTGTAGCTTTGGCATGTCAGCAGCTACATGGTACAACCTGGAATTCCCTTCTTCTCCCACTACCCCTCCATTTCTCATTTCCTCCAGATGGACAATACATCAGGATACCAGATCTCCATCCAGGACCCCCCAGTGCAGATCCACCACCTGATCCCTGCCTCCTCACTGCCAGCAGACGTCCCAAGAAGTTCTCCTGTCCCGAGTGCGGGAAGTGCTTCTCCCAGAGGACGAAGCTTCTCGCCCACGAGCGGATTCACACTGGGGAGCGGCCTTTCTCGTGTTCCGAATGCGGTAAGGTGTTTACCCAGAAGGCCCACCTCGTGACGCATGAAAAAATTCACTCGGGGGAGAAGCCCTACTCCTGCTCGCTTTGTGGCAAGGGCTTTACAGACAAGGCCGTCTTGGCCCGCCACCAAAAGTTCCACTCGGGGGAGAAGCCTTTTTCCTGCTCCGAGTGCGGGAAGCGGTTCACTCTGAAAGGGGACCTCGTCAAGCATCTCCGAATTCACACCGGGGAGAGGCCGTATTCCTGCTCCTACTGCAGTAAACCTTTCCCAGATAAAGCCCGTCTGGACCGGCACGAGCTGATTCACACGGGGGAAAAGCCGTTTTCCTGTTCCATGTGTGGGAAAGTGTTTGCCCTGAAAGCTTTTTTGGTCACGCACGAAAGGACCCACACTGACGAGAAGCCATATTCGTGTTCTGCGTGCGGGAAGTGTTTCACTCAGAAGTCAAATTTGGCCACACACGAAAGGACTCACACTGGAGAAAAGCCGTTTTCTTGCCTGGCTTGTGGGAAGAGCTTTACTAGGAAAGCGACTTTGATCTCCCATCAACATTGTCACAAGTGAAAGCACGCTGAGGTGCCAGGGACGGGGGCAATATTGACAGGTTTCCTTAAGTTCTCCCGTCCCTTGTTGAATATACTCACCTTGCCTTTTGCTCTTCCGCCTTTCTGTGTAGTATAGGAATCATGTGACACACCCCCCCTTCTTCCAGTGCTGGTGATTGGCCCACATGGGTAGGAGGAGAGAGTCCATAGCCCTCCGTCAGCTCCAGGTCTGGAGTGGGGCTTCTACAGGGTTTCTTCTCTTCCTTCCTGGGGGCCAAATTGACCAGCAGATGGGTAAAGAGCAGATGAGTAGAAGCAGCTCAGGTTTACTTTAAAACCAGTCACTCTACCCGGATGTCGGTGCACGGGCAGTCGTGGCTGCACCCCCTGTAGTCATCAGTGCACACAAAGGACGCCTCTGGACAAAAACCGGTTGGAGGTCACCTGACCTGATCGCCTCTTGGAAGAAAATGTAGGGGTAGATAGAGCAGTGCGGGAGAGGGAGGAAAAGGGTTGGAGTGTGGCTTTAGTGTGTGATCACACCGGATTATGTGGCTCTCCGAGTATAACGGAGAACAATGGATTCCATTCACATAGTCAGGTTGACCAACTTCTTGTTCAGAATCATGTCAGTAAGTTTCCAGGGCGATAAAAAGCCAATCCCGAAACAAGCTAAAACACAAAGTGGGTGGAAACGTGAGAAGAGGGCAGAGACAGACGATGGTATGTAAAAGGTTAAGATAATGCTATAGGATGCCAACTTTTGTTTGCCCTTATAATTGTGGTGGGGATCCATGTTTGTGGTCTCCATGGTTGTGGTGGGATTCCATGATCGTGGTGTCTGTGGTTGTGGTCTCCATGATTGTGCTGTCCATGGTTGTGGTCTCCATGATTATGCTGTCCATGGTTGTGGTGGGATTCCATGATTGTGGTCTCCGTGATTGTGCTGTCCATGAATGTGGTGGGAATCCATGATTGTGCTGTCCATGTTTGTGGATTCCATGATTGTGGTCTCTCTATAATTGTGGTGGGATTCCATGATTGTGGTTGCCATGATTTGTGGTCTCCATGATTGGTGTTGTCCATGGTTGGGAGTAGCTTGTAAGCTTCTGTGGGGGCAGGGACCGGTGTAAAAAGCTCAGCTGGCTTTGTAAAGCTATACAAAATATTTCAGCATCATGTGAATGAGTAAAATAAATTATTGGCGTATTAAGAGGTTATCAATGTTGGATCTCCGACACTCAAAACGTCTGGAAATAAGCGGTGGCTTATATAGGGAAATATTAACCGTTTGATGTTTTAAACTATTTATGTATCTGTTTTACAAAATGGACACGTGATACAGCCAGGACACTGGACTTCCACCGCACCAGGGGTTTTCTAAGGAGAGACGCTGCTCCCTTTCAGACACTCTGTCTCTGATTGTAACCTCGGACAGAGCTGGGCAGAGAAGTTACTGCTGGGACTCGTTCATTGAGTGTGTACATTCCAGCTTGAGCTATTGAGTTCTGTTTGTGTCAAGCGTGTCCTCTGGTTGTGTAAAGTTTTCTTTAGATGAGTTTTCAAGCCCTGAAGGCCTCATGGGTAATGTCAGGCAGCTTTTCTCTCAAGGGTTCAAGAGAGGACATCAAGGATACACTCAACACTGGCATGGGTAAGTTTGGTCTGCCATGGCCACCGCCATCTAGAAGACCTGGCTGAAGGAAAGAAGCAGAACGCTCCCCCAGATGGAAGAGCTCCAGGGATGGAATCAGATGCTTTGATGCAGAGACCCCAGAATCTATTTTTGATTCCCACAGCACCGGGGGTTTTCTAAACAGGAGAAGCTGCTTCCTTTCAGGCATTCTGTCTCTGATTGTAACCTCTGACCGAGCTGTATGAGGGAGGTAGAGGAGTCACTGCTGGGACTTGTCATTTCAGCATGTAAGTTCCCGCTTGAGCTATTGAGTTCTGTTAGCTTCATTCATGTCCTCAAGTCGTAGAACGCTCTCTTTAGATGACTTCTCCAGCCTGTGCTCATGGGGAATGCCATGCAGCTTTTTCCTTAAGGGTTCGAGAGAGCAAATAAAGGAGACACTCAACGATGGTAAGTACCCGGCAGGGGTAAGCATGGCTGTAGCCTCGATGGGCCTAATATTGCCATCCCCAGCTAGAAGACCCGGCTGAATCAATGAAGAAGAACACTCAACCAGATGGGAAGGCCTTCCCGTGATGGAATTAGCTGCTGACGCCAGAATCCGTCCTTTGATTACCACAGCACTGTGGGTTTTCTAAACAGGAGAAGCTGCTCCCTTTCAGACACCCTGTCTCTGATTGTAACCTCAGGCAGAGCTCTATCAAGGGAGGTGGAGGAGTCAATTCTGGAACTCATTCATTTGAGTGTGTAAATTCCAGCTTGAGCTATTGAGTTCTGTTAGCATCAGACATGTCCTATAGTAATTTCAAGTTCTCAAGCCTGTCCTCAAGGCCTCCTGGAGAATGCCATGCAGGATTTTTCCTTCAAGGGTTCTAGAGAGGAAATCAAAGGAGACCCTCAACAATGGTAAGGACCCGGCAGGGGCAATTACGCATGACTTGAGGCTGGATGGGCCTAACATTACCACCCCCAGCTAGACAACCTGGCTGAATCAATGAAGAAGAACACTCAATCAGATGGGAAGGCCTTCTTGTGATGTAACGAGAAGCTGATTGTAACCTCAGACAGAGCTGCATGGAGGGAGGTGTGTGGAGTCACTGCTGGAACTCATTCATTTGAGTGTGTAAATTCCCACTTGAGCTATTTAGTTCTGTTAGCGTCAGACATGTCTGTCCTCTAGTCATTTCAAGTTCTCAAGGCCTCATGGAGAATGCCATGTGAATTTTTCCACAAGGGTTTCGAGAGAGGAAATCAACATGGGTAAGGACTTAGGTATGGGCATGGGTAAGACTGGCTTTAGGCTAGATGGGCCTGATATTGCCACCACATGTTAGACGACCTGACTGAATCAAAGAAGCAGAATGCTCGGACAGATGTAAGGGTTCCAGTTATGGGATCAGCGTGAGGCAGGGACCCCAGACTCCGTCCTTCAGGTGCTCTGATCTTTCGGTGATGACTGTTGGCAAATGGGAACCAATTGTCATGGTGGCCAGATTGGGCCTCAACAAGCCACCTAAACGTCACTCTATAACCTATCCTCGCTTTGATAGATGTTCTCAGCTGGTCAAGGACATGGTCCGGGATGGAATATATGTATCACCCTGAATCTTGAGTTTTATTAGGTAGACGGCTCCTCCTCCTTGCTGCCATCTTTGCACACCCAAAGAAGCTTCATTTGTGGAATTGTCATCAGCTTTCACCGCCCTGGGATCTCCACTCGTCCTTCATGCCTTCATCTCCAGCGGGGAAGGAAGGAGGCAACACAAGACGGTTGGCATGGTGGGACAAACAGCATCACCTCAACTACAGCGGCCCGCCATTTTCTATCCATCCATCCCCCACCCTTTCCTGTTTCCACCGCGTATAGAGGGCGAACCATTGCCACAGACTTCTTTATGGTAGTATAGAGCAGGGTGCAATGTGTGTCGGGGCGTCTGTGGAGCACCCCGCATCTGGAATTGCGCAGATTTGTATGGAGCTCCACTATAAAGAATGTGGAACTTGTCTGGCGGCGGGAGCGTGGCCGTAGAAGACGTTGCGGGGCAAACTTTCAACTTCAGCTCTTATTGTATGATATTACTCCTATATTTCTGAATTTCATCATAATAATCATTTAAAAATATATATAATAATCATAAAAAATAATATGAATAAAATTATAATAATATAATGATATTACTAAAATATTACTAAAAATAAAAGTAACGATAATCATTATATTGATAAAAATAATAATAAGATATTAATGATACATATAATACTATTTCCTGAAACCATTTCCCTTTTTAAAAGAACAGAACTTTCACTTTATAGCAAAAAACACTGGGCGGAGCAAGGGATTCTGAGTAATGTAATACTACCGTATATCACATTTTACACCAATGTCTCCATTTCTAGGCCACAACAAAATGGCCGCCGCTCTTTTTTTTTTTCTTTCTTCCCTCACTTTCATTACCACTAAGCCGTCACCATTTTTTTTAATATATGTAAACAGTGTGAGGTATACAGCGAACACAGACCGGGGTAGCTAACTGAAAGCAGCAGAGAGCGCAAAACTGTTAGTGTTCTTGCATTTCGGCAAAGCTTGAGCTACGACAAAATGGCCGCCACCGACGAATTATGGAAGCTCGGAAGAGAAGCTGATGGCAGATGGTGGAATGCATCCGGCCGCCAGCAGAGGGCGCAGGTCGGCGCTGTCACTGTTGTGTAGCCCCTCCATAGAAGTGGTGCCGAGGCTGCACCCGGAAGTTTCAGGGAGGAGGTGGACAGGGACTTCCGGTCAAGCTGAATTGGAAATGCTGGTGAGTTTGTTGAGGGATATTGAACCTTTGGGGAGCTATATGAAGTCATGACTATTGAGGGGCATTGTGGGAAATGTGCCTTGGCTGTAAATCCAACCTTCAAAGATGGGCAGAAATTGGACAGCTCGCAGCATCTGACCGTCCGTGGCCATGAGACGGGTCCTGGGATGTCGGTGAGACGGATCGGGAAATGACGGCTCTATTCCTATTGTACGTAATGAAACGTAAGCCATTCCCTGAACTTGCAGACGGCAGCGTCATCCAACATCCTCTGCCTACCAGACGCCCACATTAAAGGGGAACGCCATCATTCCATCAGCTGATTGGACAGTTTCTACTGGAACGATTGTAGAAGAAGAGGACGGGAAAGCCAATGGACCTCGTAGAAGAAGAGGACGGCAAAAGCCAATGGACCTCGTAGAAGAAGAGGACGGCGAAAGCCAATGGCCCTCGTAGAAGAAGAGGACGGCAAAGCCATTGGACCTCGTAGAAGAAGAGGACGGCAAAGCCAATGGACCTCGTAGAAGAAGAGGACGGCAAAGCCAATGGACCTCGTAGAAGAAGAGGACGGCAAAGCTAGATTGTTATGATTTCCAGGTTCTCCAACATGTGAGATCTCCTTATCAGAATTCCCAGTTCCCTCCAGGGCCACGGCCATTACAAACCCCAATGATGCCATCACTGTACCCCGATGGGTTCTGCTTTATGGGGAACACCCTAACCGGGGAGCGTGGTAGCACGTAGCCTTATGAGAGGGGGTGAGTCAGAGACTTGAGAGGAAACTCCCACCATGGCACAGAGATCTACGAAGCTGGTTCCACTCACCAGAACTGGAATCGGGTTGAAGGCCCTCAAGGTGATTTTTGGGTGACTCAAATGTATTCCTTGACAGAATATTTCCGAATATGTTATCTTTTCTGATTTTACAGGTAATTTCTCTTCAACTACATCTGAATATTAACGGGAGAGCCTCAAAAATACGCCACATGACCAGGAATGGAGAACGAGCATAGTCACATGACTGAGAGAATATTAAACCTCACCCTGGAGATCATCTACCTGCTGACCGGAGAGGTGAGGAGGATTCTGGGAGGTCACATGACATCACTCTTATCTCTATTAATAAAACACAGACCTGACCGGAGAGGTGAGGAGGATTCTGGGAGGTCACATGACATCACTCTTATCTCTATTCATAAAACACAGACCTGACCGGAGAGGTGAGGAGGATTCTGGGAGGTCACAATAACACAATTGCTATTCCATTCTCAGTAAGAGACAGATCTATAGCGGTGAAGGTCTTCCAGTCACATTCCTTTTGGGTGTTTACTAGAAATTCTGATTATATAGATTTATGGGCCTTTAAAGAAGCCAAGAGGACGTGTGACACGCAGAGGTCATCCCCATATAACAGCAGGGTGGATTAGGAATTGGAGCCCCATCATGGAACCACCAGCTCCCTCTCTGACACCTGAGAGAAGCAAGGACAAGAAGATCCTGGAAGTCACCCAGAAGATCATGGAGCTGCTGACGGGAGAGGTGAGCAGTGCCGGGAATTCTGGGACATGATCCAGGAACAGACAAGGGATGTGTCTGGATGGTGACTGTATCATTGTGTGTCAGGTTCCTATAAGGTGTCAGGATGTCTCTGTCTATTTCTCCATGGAGGAGTGGGAGTATCTAGAAGGACACCGGGATCTCTACAAGGACGTCATGATGGAGAACCGGCCGCCCCTCACATCACCGGGTAAGAGGAGACTTTCATTTCTTGAGTATTGAGGATCCCCCTAGATACACACATCCTCTGATATAAAGACATAGAAACAATGTATTCAGTCAGTGTGTGTGTTTCCTACAGATGGATCCAGTAAGAGGAACCCACCAGAGAGATGTCCCCGTCCTCTGTATTCCCGGGATTCCACACAGGAACATCAGGAGATCCCTCAGACCCGTCCTCTGTATTCCCGGGATTCCACACAGGAACATCAGGAGATCCCTCAGGCCCATCCTCTGTATTCCCGGGATTCCACACAGGAACATTATGAGATCCCTCAGGCCCGTCCTCTGTATTCCCGGGATTGCACACAGGAACATCAGGAGATCCCTCAGGCCCGTCCTCTGTATTCCCGGGATTCCACACAGGAACATCAGGAGATCCCTCAGGCCCGTCCTCTGTATTCCCGGGATTCCACACAGGAACATTATGAGATCCCTCAGACCCGTTCTCTGTATTCCCGGGACTCCACACAGGAACATCAGGAGATCCCTCAGACCCGTCCTCTGTATTCCCAGGATTCTACACAGGAACATCAGGAGATCCCTCAGGCCCATCTTCTGTATTCCCGGGATTCCACACAGGAACATCAGGAGATCCCTCAGACCCGTCCTCTGTATTCCCGGGATTCCACACAGGAACATCAGGAGATCCCTCAGGAAGATCAGGCAAGCAAAACTATAATACACCATTCTGAATGTGATTGTGCTGATCTTGTGAGTCCTCGTTCTAATTCCTAAAATAGTTGTGTGCTTTGTGTCCTCTGTAGGATGACAACCTATTTATCATTAAAGTCGAGGCCACTGATGAAGACGAGAGGGGTAACGAGGAGGAAATCCCTCCAAAGATCAGCACAGGTGAGGGAATGAACACTCAAAGAATAAGTATCACTACATTGTACAAATTCGAGTTAATCCCTCCCCTCCCCCAAGGGATCAGCTGCATGTAGCACTTGGTCCCGTTCTGATCCACGCTGTAGTTGCTGAGCAGCGTGGTGGCACAGCGCGTCCCCCGTTCCCTCCACTGTTGTCCGACCATACTGCTAGCAAGGAGATGAGTTTATAATGGGGGCTGATTGACAGTGCTTGCCTCTAGCTGTAAGTGCACACTGAGCAGGGGGAGGGGCTAGATCAGATAACACAGTAAAAATAAGCTGAGCTGGCTGTGGGAGAAGAAGGTGCACCCAGGCAGCAGAGGACAAGAAGGTGGCTGATCACACAGTGCTGACTGTGGCGCTATCAGCAGAGTCCTTGGTTGCCTGGACACACCTCGGGGAAGTGTTCCTGCCACAGTCAGGGCGGAGCACGGCAAGAGAGACGGGGTTACAAGGCTGGCTGTAGCTCCCGCTAGGAATGCCCACAAATTGGGCTTTAGCTTGGGATGGAGCTACAGACAGAATAAAGATATGGGCTTCCAATGCACGTTGGGTCCATGGATCAAAACGGGACCCAGTGCCGCATGCTACATGCGCTTGGTCCCTAGGAGGATTGAACTCGGCCACCTTTGAATTTGACAATCACTTTAACCATCCGTGGTATCATATCTCCTCCAGACGGACAGTACAGGAAGCGGAAGCTGGAGAACCATCACATGACCCCTCCAAATGGCGGCTTCGATGACGTTCTAGAAGATTCTCCAACAGGAAACTCCATCAGCCCAGCTCATCCGAGACTTCACCAAGCCCTTCTCTTATCCGAGCCCCCAATTCACGGGGCGCCTTTTTCCGAGAGGCCCCACCCTGTGGCCCATCGTGCAGGCCACAGATGGGTTGAGACGTTCCAGCCTTCCGAATATGGCAGATGTTTCACTCCAAGTGCGGACCTTCTTCCACACCTGGCCACCTTTGGCGGTGAAAGTTTGCCATCGTGTTCAGACTGCGGAAGGCCATTCGCGAAGCGTTCGCACTTACTCATCCACGAAAGGATTCACACGGGGGAAAAGCCATACTTGTGTCCCTACTGTGGTAAAGCGTTCGCCAAGAATTCCCATCTCATAACCCACCAACGCATTCACACGGGTGAAAAGCCCTACTCCTGTCCCCTGTGCGGCAAAAGCTTCACGGACAAGTCCAACCTCGCGAAGCACGAGGTCATCCACACGGGCGACTACCCGTGCTCCTGCCCCGTGTGTGGGAAAGGCTTCGTACAGAAGTCCCTCCTGGACCTTCACGAAAGGGTGCACACCACCGACAGGCCCTACACGTGCCTGGACTGTGGCAAAAGCTTTGCCAAGAACTCCCATTTTGTCATGCACCTGAGGACTCACTCAGAGGAGAAGCCCTACTCCTGCCCCGAGTGCGGGAAGGCCTTCACCAAGAGGTCCCACTTTGTCGCGCATGAGCTCATTCACCGCAAGCAGAAGCCCTTCTCCTGTTCTGTGTGCGGGAAGGGGTTTGCCCAGAAGTCCAACTTGGTCACTCACGAGAGGATCCACACCGGCGAACACCCGTTTTCCTGCTCCATGTGCGGGAAGTGCTTCACCCACAGGTCCAACCTAGTGAGGCACGAGCGGGTTCACACCGGTGGACTTGCCTATTCGTGCCCCCAGTGCGGGAAATGGTTCGCGCACAAGACCCAGCTGGTGGCCCACCAGAACAGTCACAAGGAGGGGAACCTTTAGCCGTGGTACTGATGTAGATTGGGAATTCATCGATAAATAAAGGTGGGCCCCTGGAGGAAAGTTTTTCACTGCTGTTTATTGGGACCATCATTGTAAGGTTCGGCCCAAGCGGATTATTAATATACGGGCCGGAGATTATTTTACGGCATGGATTTGGACGTTCATATCTGACTCGCCTTTAGGGGTGCCCAGTTTCAGCCACACACATGCATGCACTTGGCTGGTCCCATTACAGTGCTAGACTGAGAGCATTAAAATGTTTACATCATGCTCCGCCCCGGAGGAGCTCAGACTCTACTACAGTCACATATAATTAACTATAGTCCTCTAACCCACCCCTAGGAGTTTACAGTCTCAGGCATGCACTTGGCTGGTCCCATTACAGTGCTGGACTGAGAGCATTAAAATGTTTACATTATTCTCCACCCCTGAGGAGCTCAGACTTTTCTACAGTCACACATAATGAACTATGGGCAACTCACCGCCCCTGAGGAGTTTACAGTTTCAGCCATACACGTGCATCTAAAACTGCTCACACAATTATCTGCCCCTGAGGAGCTCAGACCCTCTTACAGGCACACAATGAACTATGGGCATCTAACCCGCCCCCGAAGAGTTTACAGTCTCGCCCCACACCCATATGCACTTAGCTTGTCTTTTTACAGTGCTGGGCTGAGTGCAATAAACTGGTCAGCTTATTCTCCACCCCTGAGGAGCTCAGACTCTTATTACAGTGTAAATGAATATTTTGTATATGACTGAGATGTGCATCTAACCCACCCCTGAGGAGCTTATATGTGCTTCTAACCCATCCCTGAGGCACTTAGATATGTTCATCTCACCCACCATATGGAGCTAAGACGTGTGCATCTAACCTGCCCCAGAGGAACTTAGAGATAGCCATAATAGTCCATATTTGCATTGGTCCGCCTCTGAAGAGCGTACAATCTCAGCTATACTCTTCATTTGAAATTATAGAGCCATGTTGTATTCCTGTCTTTCCAGAGTCCTTAGAATTATTCACATCAGTCCATGACCACAAGGAGATCACCCTCCCCCATCACTACCACCTACAGTATTACAGGTTATCTATATAGCTCTGACATATACCGCAGTGCTGTACAGAGAACACTGAGCCAATCACATCAGTCTCTATACAGAGGAGCTTACACTCTAATGCCCCCTCCCCCACAGTCACATCAGTCTCTATACAGAGGAGCTTACACTCTAATGCCCCCTCCCCCACAGTCACATCAGTCTCTATACAGAGGAGCTTACACTCTAATGCCCCCTCCCCCACAGTCACATCAGTCTCTATACAGAGGAGCTTACACTCTAATGCCCCCTCCCCCACAGTCACATCAGTCTCTATACAGAGGAGCTTACACTCTAATGCCCCCTCCCCCACAGTCACATCAGTCTCTATACAGAGGAGCTTACACTCTAATGCCCCCTCCCCCACAGTCACATCAGTCTCTGTACAGAGGAGCTTACACTCTAATGTCCCTCATCTGTAGAGGAAGATGTAACTCCCCCACACACACGCAGATTTACAGTTGATAAGCTCAGCGTGTTTGCTGCTCTGCACAACATCCCAATAGGCTCCTAGGATGCCTCAGGGGCGGGTAGATCAGACTGTAAGCTCCTCACGGGTGGGTAGATCAGACTGTAAGCTCCTCAGGGGCGGGGACTGTGTATTTTTACACACTGTAGTCTGGAGGAATTTGGTGCGGCATCTTGTGATAAAATAATATTGGAGATCTTAACCAGCCAACGGCTTTGGTTTAACCCCTTCCAGGACCTGCCGCCTGCTTGGTGTCGGAGATATCTCAGAATTCCATGGGGCCTTCAGATAGGCAGATGAACTCTCTCACCCGCAAAAAATTTCCTAATTGTAACTGTACAGGAGGTGGAGTTGTTAGGCTCTCCTGTAAATACGTATTTCCTGACTGTCATGTTGATCCTCTGTCTTCAGTGTTCCGTGTATGAAGTTTGCAGATGGGGAAAGTGGGAGTAATGTAAGAAATGGTTATCTGTGTGCTGGTTGTGGGTGAGTCAGTTAGAGGATGTAGCTCAAGAGCTGCAGCAATTACACTATATTGCCAAAAGTATTGGGCCCCTCCCCCTCCAAATCATGTGATTCAGGTGTTCCAATCCCGTCCATGGCCCCCGGTGTATAGGATGAGGCACCTCGGGATGCAGACGCTTCTACAGACATTTGTGAAAGAATGGGTCGCTCTCAGGAGCTCAGGGACTACAAGCGTGGCGCGGTGATAATGTTATAGCTGCAAAGGGCGGAGCCAACCCGATACTGAACCCTACGGACTAAGACTGGGATACCATTAAAGTTCATGTGCGTGTAAAGGCGTCCCAATACTTTTGGCAATATATATATATTTTTTCCTACTGCATACAGGTCCCCTTTAAATAGCACCGGAAACCGTTCTCTCACTTCCGCCCTGTGGCTCCCTCATTTTCTCTCTCCATTCCACGGCTGCCCAGCCGCTTCCTGTTGCCATAGTGACGCCCAGCGGAGATGCAGCACAATCTTCCATAAGAAAGCCGTTTATTCCAGTGTGGAGCCACAGACACCGCTAGAGGGTCGGCCGTCTGCCTTTGTAGGCAACAGAAATGTCTTCAATGCAGGAGAGGCGGCCATTTTCTTGTAGACCACAAGAGGAGAAAGGAGGGGGGATGTTGGCTCAGGAATCCTCCTGGAGGGGGTGTGGGGCTGCAGTGTGTACCCTGTGACGAGGAGGTAATAATGTCTTCTTATTATAGGAGAAGAGGGTCCCAGCACTCTGTGGATTGAATGTGGGAGGTCAGCTACACAAACCTGAGTCCTTCAGTATAATATTGGCACCTTTTTATAAAAGAGGACCTGTCAGATGTCAACCTAGAGCATGTGCCCTGGCATGGACCGCAAATGAAACCGTGCTGCAGCGGCAGACACGTCCATCCCTGGGCACCAGAACCATCTCCTGCACTTCCAATGCCAATTTCCTCCTCCTGTATATATCCCCGTATCTAGCCGTCCCCGGGCATTGGACAGCAGAAAAACAGCTTCTTCACCGGCATAAACAACTCGGCATGATGGAACACTGATTAGGCTCAAAAAGGCCAGATAATATTATCTCCAAAGATGGAGAACCGGCCAACACTCACATCACCAGGTAAGAGAAGAGTATTGAGGATCCACCTAGATACACACGTCCTCTGATATAAAGACATAGAAACAATGTATTCAGTCAGTGTGTGTGTCTCCTACAGATGGGTCCAGTAAGAGGAACCCACCAGAGAGTATTTCCATGGAGGAACATCATGAGATCTCTCAGGTCCATCCTCTGTATTACCAGGACTACACCCAGAAACATCATGAGATCCTTCAGGCCCATCCTCTGAAGTCCCAAGATTCCACCCAGGAACATCATGAGATCCCTCAGGCCCGTCCTCTGCATTACCAGGAGTCCACCCAGGAACATCATGAGATCCCCCAGGTCCATCCTCTGAATTCCAGAGATTCCACCCAGGAACATCACATGATAAAGACACAGGTAGGGGTCTTTGGAATCCCATCCTCTATAGGTTGATCCGAGTGTTGTTCATAAGAAAACAATTACATCACAGTCACATTTCCATGGCGGGGACAGGATCTCCTCGGTTGGCCTTCCTCAAATTGCTTTCTGTCTCCTCTAGTTCGAAGACCTGATTGTCATCAAAGTTGAACCAACAGACGTCGAAGAGGAGGACGAGCTGTGTAAGGAGGAGGAACGTTCTTCAGAGATCAGCACAGGTGAGGAATAAACACTAAATCCAGAAGAGTCCCAGATCCTCGTCCCAAGGAGACTTTTCATTGGTTGGGTCTCTACATTTGTCTTGCTGTGATTGGATGATCCAATCTCCTAAACTGTCTCGGCTTCCCAAATTGGTGTCCTAATGCTGCAATGGAATCCCATCAACAGGCTTTACATCAGCCACAGCTCAGCCTGAAGTGGCCATTAACATGGTGGCCTCAGCTGGCCATACACTAATAGACATTTGTCCTTCAGCCTGTGCGCTGAACAAAAAATATTCTTCCATCCACACTGGGTACTCGTCTTTCTCACTTAGGTGAGAGGGGGAAGGGAGCAGACCAAAAAGTATTGGCTTTTATCACTGGGGGGCCAAGTGTAAGCTTTAAAGATCCAAAGTGATTTAGGGGAGTGAAGGTCCGCTTTAACATGACCAAATATATCTGATTGCAGGTCCACTTTACTGGTTTCCAAGTGTGTTGGCATTCCTCTCTAGCTTAGACTTTCCAAATGTGTTTACTTTTTGCCAGCTCAGACTCTTGGAAGTGATATCAATACATTTTTGTGACTGTGTGTTTCCTGCAGATGGATCCAGTAATAGAAGTACCCCTGAGAGATGTCCCCGTCCTCTGTATTCCCGGGACTCCACACAGGAACATCAGGAGATCCCTCAGACCCGTCCTCTGTATTCCCGGGACTCCACACAGGAACATCAGCAGATCCCTCAGACCCGTCCTCTGTATTCCCGGGATTCCACACAGGAACATCAGGAGATCCCTCAGACCCGTCCTCTGTATTCCTGGGATTCCACACAGGAACATCAGGAGATCCCTCAGGCCCGTCCTCTGTATTCCCGGGATTCCACACAGGAACATCAGGAGATCCCTCAGACCCGTCCTCTGTATTCCCGGGACTCCACACAGGAACATCAGGAGATCCCTCAGACCCGTCCTCTGTATTCCCGGGATTCCACACAGGAACATCAGGAGATCCCTCAGGAGGATCAGGTAGGTCCACCATCATATTTTAAAGAAACTTATTCTGACCCTTTCTTCTCCATCTATCGAAGATCAGGTTATTTAGAATATGTTGTGTGTGTTGTAGGCCGAAAATCTGATTATCAAAGTTGAAGTGAAGGAGGAAGCAGAAGATCCGTATGTGAGGGGAGAGGAGCCGTGTAAGGAGGATGACGTCCCTCCAGAAATCGGCACAGGCGAGGAATAGGAATGAGCTCAGCTTAAGACCAAACCTGAGCTCATCAGGACCTGGAAGAAAGCTGTCAGTGCACACCCAATCACTTGAAGCCGGGGCACTGCCTACCCCACAGCTGCATGTCAACAAACGTTGGGATTCTGGTGACATTGTTGACCTTTCTTGGCCATATTTGGTCAATGACATTGACTCAATATGGCCATACAAGGTCAATGGTCTGAACCCAAGCTCAGCCTTAGTGAGTGATAAACACTAAACCCAGAAAAGTCTCAGATTCTCCTTGTTCAGTCACTACAACAATCTCTTCTTCTCCCCCCTCCTCTGTCAGTAGACAGTAATGGGGGGACGGAATGTGTCTAGTGGGGGGAGTCAGGAGCCATCAGCCTCTATTAGACTCCGGCTCTCCTCCTCACATCATGTCATTGTGTGTTACCAGCCAAGAGATGTGACCAATCTCCCCCCACACACACTCTCTGGGGGTCTCTCATACATCTCAGTACAGAGGGCTTCACTCTCTTCTTCTCCCCCTCCTCTGTCAGTAGACAATAATGGGGGGACGGAATGTGTCTAGTGGGGGGAGTCGGGAGCCATCAGCCTCTATTATCAGGAAGACCTCACATCATGTCATTGTCATGTCATTCTGTGTCACCAGCCAAGAGACGTGACCAGTCTCCCCCCACACACACAGTCTCTGGATTCTCTCATACATCTCGGTACAGGGGGCTTCACTCTCTACTTCTCCCCCCTCCTCTGTCAGTAGACCGTAATGGGAGAACAGAATGTGCCCAGTGGGGGGGTCAGGAGCTTTGAGCACCGCTCTGACACAGATCAACCATTTTGCTTCCTCTCTGCCTTACTTTCTCCAGATGGCCAATACCGGTGGATCATCATGGGGAAGCGATCCGTTGCACCTCCGGATGGAGAACCAGAAGATGATATAGCAGCAGATTCCTCACAAGAGAACCCCGTCCCCCAAGACAAGCAGCCGGTATGTTTCTTTGCCATAATGCCTTCTTGTGTTCATTATCGGCTGCCCAACACTAGAGGGAACGTGTGGACTTACTTCATGTAGAGTTTATGCCTGCTTCTGTGGTCCCACTTTTGGTTCTTTTGTGAGCCACCTACAGGGATGATGTATACCACCCACCCCTAGTTATACCACGCCCTACTAACTAGTGTTCTTCAACCTGAAGGTGCCTACAGATATTGGCTGGGCTGCTGGACCATGCATGAGCTGGAGGTCAGATTGTGACTGTTCCAAGGAACCTTATACAAATATGTTCACATGGGGGTTCTATGTATCTCAGTTCCCATCAATCCATGTGCTTGGTGATTGGCTGCTCAGGGGCCCAACACTGACATGTGGGAGGTTGGTAAAGTGTCCTCAGCCCTGTAGTCTTCTCGTGTTTCAAATATTACCTTTTATGTTCACATAGAAAACCTTTTCTGTCTCTTCTCAGGGGAAGCGGAGAAACAGGAAGCCTATCTCGTGCTCTGAGTGTGGGAAGTGTTTCAAGCGCAATTCTCAGCTGGTCCCCCACCAGCGCTGGCACGCAGGCGAGAAGCCTTATTCCTGCTCTGAGTGTGGAAAAGGTTACAGACAGAAGGACCATCTCATCCGGCACCAGAGATCCCACTTGGGGGTGAAGCCCTATTCATGCTTGGAGTGTGGGAAGGGGTTCACATTGAAACTCTCTCTGGACAGACACCAGGTGGTTCACTCAGGGGAGAAGCCGTATTCTTGCCCCACGTGTGGGAAACGCTTCACCCAGAAGGCCTCTCTTGGTAGACACCAGGCTCTTCATTCGGGTGAGAAGCCCTATTCATGTTCAGACTGTGGAAAGAGCTTCCGGCAGAAGTCAACGCTCATTCAGCACCAGCAGATCTCCTCGAAGGAGAAGCCTTTCTCCTGCCCTGACTGCGGGAAATGTTTTGAGAAGAAGTCCATTCTGATTGGGCATCAGAGAACCCATACCGGAGAAAAGCCGTTTTCCTGTCCTGACTGTGGGAAAAGCTTTGCTCTGCGGTCGACTCTTCTCGTCCACCAGACCATCCACACGGGCAACAAACCGCTGTCGTGTTCCCTGTGCGGGAAGGGCTTCCTGCACAAGTCCCGTCTTCTCCTCCATCTGAGAGTCCACACGGGGGAGAGGCCTTTCTCCTGCTCAGAATGTGGGAAGTGTTTCCTGCTGAGGTCCCGCCTGGTAGACCATGAAAGGCGCCATACAGGAGAGAAGCCCTACTCGTGCTCCGCGTGTGGGGAGAGTTTCTCGGAGAAGCAGCTGCTTGTCATACACCAGAGGAAGCACGCCGACAAGAGCCAGAACTCCTGCAACATCTGCGGTAGATGCTTCACGCACAAGTCCTACCTGGTCAAACATTGGAAGACCCACAGCGGGGAGAAGCCACACCCCTGCTCTGAATGTGGGAAGAGCTTTGCGGAGAAGTCACAGCTAGACCGCCACCAGAACATCCACACAGGCCAGAAGCCTTTCTCCTGCCCAGTGTGTGGGAAGAGCTTCCGGTGGAAGACCACCTTCATCGACCACCAAGCCACACACACGGGAGAAAAGCCCTACTCCTGCGCCGAGTGCGGCAAACGCTTCACGCAGAAGACTCAGCTGGTCCGGCATCGGAGGGTCCACACTGGGGAGAAACCTTTTGCTTGCTCGGAGTGCAGCAAGACTTTCAGGTGGAAGGCCGACATGGCCTCTCACCAGGCGACACACAGAGGAGAGAAACCTTTCCCGTGTTCTGACTGTGGCAAGTGTTTCACCCAAAGGTCCTCTCTCAATAGGCATCTAAGCAAGAAACTGTGCACAAAGTCACTTTGACGTCTGTTGGGGACGTCCTCCAAATGTCCTCTAGTCCCAGTGTATATTACCGTAGTGTAAATAATAAATTCCCTCAACTATATATAGACTCCAAGGATTAGGATATGAGCTTCTGTTCCTGGAGATGCTGAGGTTCCTCATCCGGTGCACTTGTTGGAACCTTTCAAGACAAGTAGGAGATTCTCCCACTGGTTCTCCTAAGGAACATGGTCCCTTTAAACATGACCAAAGGAAGATGAAGCTCCCAGTCCAGTAAAGGACACTGTGCAGGAGTGCCATATGCAGGGTGCTGCCTATTAGTTGATTTGAAGCTCTGTACAGACTTTGAAGAGAGACAGGAGGACCATGGGAAGTCCTGTTCACAAACTGGGGCCCTGGTTTGCAAGGAGTGTAGCGTTTTGGCTGTTATTGAAAGTTAAGGATGAAGACTGAAATTGAGAGGGTGTTTGTAATAGTGTTAAAGGCCAGCTCCTCCTACTTGTGGATTGCTAGCTGGTTAAACCGCATGCTGGGTTCTGTTGGGGTCTTATAGGACATGCAGTGATAAGATTCCCCATCATCCCCCCCTCGCCCATAGGTCACAGCTCTAGCCTACTGCAACAGTCAACCCAAAAGCCAAGGCAAGACCAATACCAAAATCAGGCTTCTCCATGCAGTGATAAGATTACACATCATCCCCCTTCCCCCAACTGATAGCATTCCCCATCATCCCCCCTCGCCCGTAGGTCACAGCTCTAACAGTCAACCCAAAAGCCAAGACCCCACCAAAATCAGGCTTCTCCAAGCAACAAGATTCCCCATCATCCCCTGGGCCACAGCTCTAGCAAACTGCAACAGGCAACCCAAAGACCAAGGCAAGACCAAAATCAGGCTTCTCCATGCACTGATAACATTCCCCATCATCCGCCTAGGTCACAGCTCTAGCCAACTGCAACAGTCAACCTAAAACCAAGGCAAGACCAAACCAAATTCAGGCTTCTCCATGCAGTGATAAGATTCCACATCACCCCCCTTCCCCCTAGGTCACAGCTCTAGCCAACTACAACAGTCAACCCAAAACCAAGGCCACACCAAGACCCAAACAAAAATCAGGCTTCTCCATGCAGTGATAAGATTCCACATCATCCCCCTTCCCCCTAGGTCACAGCTCTAGGCAACTGCAATAGTCAACCCAAAGACCAAGACCAAACCAAAATCAGGCTTCTCCATGCAGTGATAAGATTCCCCATCATCCCCCCCTCGCCCGTAGGTTACAGCTCAAGCCTACTGCAACAGTCAACCCAAAAGCCAAGTCAAGACCCAACCAAAATCAGGCTTCTCCATGCAGCGATAACATTCCCCATCATCCCCCTAGGTCACAGCACTAGACAAACCGCAGCAGTCAACCCAACAACCAAACCAAAATCAGGCTTCTCCACCGGATATCCCTTAAATATATGATGTGGCCACCAAGTGATTTGTATATAATGCCTTTTGGTGGTGGGGCAGAGCCACAAACGTCTCTGGAAATGTCCCCACTTGAGTTGCCGAGAAATATAAATATCCAGCATGAAATGGCTACCCAGGGCAAAGTGACACGGTCTTTTGTAAGAAAACTCCCCACCCCTTGATACTCATCTTTCCGATGTTGCCTTTCTGCTCCCTTCCTCCATCGGGGGTCCCAACTTTGCAGAAGCTTGATGTCATATGGTTGCAGACCTTTCACTAGGAGAACTTCTTCCTCTATCAGGTGACCGTATTTGGGCCTGGTGAACACTTTCCTGAGAGGAGGTCAAATGTTCCACCAGAAGCACCACATATTCCAAAGCCTCCTACGAAGCAACGGGAGTGTGCTGGAGGTGGCCATCAACAGATGGGGGTTGTTATTAGTAAAATACAAAACACCTTGTGTGCCAAATACATTTATGTCAACCATCTCCAAAGAATGTTCCTTTCAAGGCAGGAGGAGAACATCTGACGTAGCAGGTGAGACCTGACGTAGCAGGTGAGGCCTGACCTGGCGTAGAAGGTGAGGCCTGACCTGAGGTAGAAGGTGAGGCTTCACCTGAGGTAGAAGGTGAGGCTTGACCTGAGGTAGAAGGTGAGGCTTGACCTGACGTAGAAAGTGAGGCCTGACCTCACGTAGAAGGTGAGGCCTGATGTAGAAGGTGAGGCTTGACCTGACGTAGAAGGTGAGGCCTGACCTGACGTAGAAGGGGAGGCCTGACCTGACGTAGAAGGTGAGGCATGACCTGGCGTAGAAGGTGAGGCCTGACCTGACGTAGAAGGTGAGGCCTGACCTCACGTAGAAGGTGAGGCCTGACCTCACGTAGAAGGTGAGGCATGACCTGATGTAGAAGGTGAGGCTTGACCTGACGTAGAAGGTGATGCCTGATGTAAAAGGTGAGGCTTGACCTGACGTAGAAGGTGAGACCTGACCTGAGGTAGAAGGTGAAGACTGACGGAGAAGGTGAGGCATGACCCCATGTGAAAGGTGAGGCCTAACCTGGTGTATACATCCCAGACCTCTTCTAAAATGTCCAGCTGAAGTTTATTTCAGACTGTATTGATTTTCTTTTGGCACCAATGAGAAAATAAAGGAGGACATCCAGTCCGGCGGCCTTGCTTCAACAACTCCATGTGCTCCTCAGGGCTCACGAGCACTTCTTCCAGCCTTGGCAGTACAGAGCTGTTGTTGGGTTATGTTCTCCATCCCAGCTTGGCCTATCCTCTTCCCCCCTTTTCGACCAAGGCACGGGGCCGCACGTGCACAAATAAGGATTGGAGAGTTGGTCTTCTCCCAGGATGGTGATGTCAATGCCAGTGGAGGAGAAAACATTCAACTTCCAAGCCTTGGAACCGGCAGGAGGACAAGTGTACTTTAACTGGCCTTGTTGGCATATACCCAACCTGGACTTTTCAGCGGGGGAGGAGATCCCAACCTCCATGTATCTGCTTAAGTCTAGACAGGAGCAGAAGGACAACCCTCAATTGTCCACATTTCTGCCCCAAACGTAGACCATGAAGTCTAACGCTAATTGTTATATGGACCTCTATACCATATCAGTGGAGTAAACGGTCAACCACGTCCCAGGTTGGAGAGACTTCCCCTTAATTCCTGGCCACACTGGAAGCAGGTAGAGGTCTCCCAACAGAGGTCCTACCCTTCCTCCCGAAATCCAAAAACTCTAAATTCCACTTGGAACCCGATGGAAAGGGCCTCTTGGTAACATCACGTTGATGTTTTTTTTGTTCTCGTGTGTTTTATTTTTGTCTTTTTTGTGCCCCGTATGTTGCGCGCGATTCTCACAATTTGTTTTGGAAAAACTTTCAAAAAGTTGGCCGGTTTCGCGTACAGGGACGAGAAGAAGACGAGAGACTTTGATCAAATTTTTGTATTTTATTGTATTTAAAATATAACGGTTTATTATTATTTTTTTACTTCCGGAAAACAAGAATTTAGAAGAGAGTTAGCTGAACAAAAGACGAATATCGGTTACTTGACTTTATTTCATTTATATGATTAATAAATCCTAAAAAGATCCCAATTTTTTTCCTCCTCGCGGGGTTTTCTGGCTCTTTCATCCTGTAACACAACGTGTACATTTTGATGCTTTGTAAAACATCCAAGCTGCCTAGAATCACCTCTAGTCTTCTCATGATGCCCCGCCCCTGAGGAGCTTACTCTTCAATTATCTCCTGCTATAGGCCTACAGAGCCCCGCTGTAGGAACAATAAACTTGCCAAGTGTACACCAACATTCACTCCTTTCATCCCGTGAGAAGAAGAACATGAAGGCAGCCATCATTGAATGCCTGAATACTTCTTATGGGTCCAAGACTTAGAAAATGCTAACTCACCTCCCAACAGCCCCTGGCCTAACAGGGGTTATGATTTTCTAAATACAAAATGGGAACAAAAACAGAAAAACATATAAACAGCGCTCTCGGATGGGGAACGCTAGCTAACAGACATGCATGCTGCCCTGGGGAGATGAGGAGTACCTGTAAATGCAGATAAACAAAGGAACGCGGAGGGCGCAAAAACACAGCAATGGAGCACTTGCGGTTTGGGCTAGGGTGTGTATAACAGAAAAAAATGTACTAATAAGGACCACCACGAGAGTCCCGATCCTCCGCACAGGCCGCCCACATCCTGATTCCTGGATTCATATGTAAGTGCCAACAATTCCTTATTAGTACATTGTTTTTCTGTTATACACACCCCAGCCCAACCCGCTAGTGCTCCATTAAACTTGCTAGTGCACTCTGTTTAAACTTGTAGAGCCGACTGTCGGCTTTACAACAGAAGCGATCCTGGCGACTTACCTGTCGCCAGATCGCTTCTGTGTCCCGAAGAAGGGGCCGCCCCCCCCCAAAGACACTACGCAAACAGAAAACAGTATTCACCAAACATGCCCACCAACCCATTGTCCCCCAACAATTCCAGCAGCGACATGGACGACACTGATACACTGGATATCCTCTGTGATTTAGCAGATCCCAATTCCTCCTATAACTACACGCTAGATACATTGGTGGAAGCTGACATCATCCATACTACCTTGAAACCCAAATCCACTTTCTACCCACTACAGTCAAAAGGTTAATTCATTGACACCTTTTACCACGTCATGTACTCTGATCTTCTGTCTATGTGTAAGAACGGCCAGAAACACCACAATCTCAGTTGTCTTGAATCCAGAGCTCTTAAAGAACTCTCCGTCAACCACGACCTGATTATCAAACAGGCCGACAAAGGTGGCGGTATTGTGATCCAAAATCGTCTTGACTACCTATTGGAAGCCCATAGGCTCCTAGGGGACGAGTCCACTTACACCAACTTACCATCAGACCCCTTAAATACCTTTAAAACCGATCTCTTTCACCTTCTAGAGACAGCTTCCAAAGAATCCATCCTCACAAAGAAAGAAAGAGCGTTCCTATATCCACAACACCCCCACACCCCT